CTCAGGTGACTGGAACCTGAATGATTTAAATACTAACTAGGTATTTACACAGACCTTATATCAAACACACAGTTGTTCAAGTTCTAAGGAACATACTCAGCTTATTAAAAAAGAAAGAAGAAAAAAAATCTCAAACAGAGAGCTGACAGACACACAAAGTAGAAGCCAAGGAGGAGATGCATCTCCCTGCACAAAACCACTGTGCTGGCTCCCAGTTTCCATGGACACGAACTGAGGGCTTAGAACAGCCCCCTTCATCCTCCCTTTAATCAGAAGTATGGGAACAATCTCTCCCCAGTACGTAGTAACAGTTTTACTACTTCTGGTAGGAACTTAACTTCTTTATACAGAAATGCCTTTTCTTTGAAAAGCTGAGTCCTGGGGTGAGAGACACCTCCATTACACTGACACCAATGAGCTGACAAACATCAAAACCACAGAGAAGACACCTTGCAGGAGGCACTTATTTCTGCCAGTCTTATCCTCTGTACTTATCTGTAAACTCTCAGTCAATTGTGTTCTTAAGATAAGGCCACCCTTAACAGAATTCTCCAGACACAGTACATACATGATCTTCCCCTGCAATATTTCATCCAACCATTCCCTTGTACATCAGTGTTGCCTTTTAAACAGAGACATAATGAAGTTTACAGCACTCGATTCCAAAGGAAGTCTAACAGAATTAGATAATTTTTATACAAATGATAGGAAAAAAATGACAGCTGTTTGCTGCAAAATTTATTAAAGTATTTAATGACAGAAATCGCAGTTCTTCACTGGATTTCCAACACTAAACAAAGGTAATTTTCCCCTCATGAAAAATGAACAATGATGGAAATCTTTGTGAAAGGAACTACTACTACCTAATCAATTCCTCTGGGCAAACTGGAAAGCAGAAGTCTTCATGCCACTTTGAACAAGTGACAAGAGTGAGATGAAAAATAAGTTAACAGTGACAATGTATTGCAGTGAAGGAAAGTCAGGAAACTGGTTTGTTTAAAATCATTAAGACCCAAGCAGTGAGGTGGAGCAGTTGTATACACTGGACTGTGTGTAATCTTGCTTTGTCATGCTCATAGCCATGTATTTTTCATAACTGCATGAAGTATTTGGTAATCTGTTTACAGCATTATGTTGGCATGCTAATTTAAATACCAAATATTAAGATTTGCTAACATTACTTATGTCTTACAATGCCCTTCTACTGACCAATATACTATCAGGAATCTCGATACAAACAAACATGAAAATAAATGATTTACCCCTAAATAAAACTGTAAAAACTGTCTTCTCATCTGTCTCTCATTATAAGGCTATAAACCCAACACAGCACACACATATTAATCATAAGACTCTGTCATGAGATGCGATTACAGATGGGGAAATCACCCCAAAACAGCTTCTCTGAAATTGAGGTTACACAGTTTTTAATAGTGTGCCTCTATTTATATTGTTCAGACTTTATGGGTGATAAAGGAAGAGGTAATTAATTACAATTAATAACCAAGCAAAGCATTTTAGGATACTTACTCCTTTGGGCACAAACAGAGGTGGTATTTAATACAACTAAAAGTGAAGCACTGAAACAAAGGGTATACTCGCAGCACAGAGGACCACCCCAGGAAGCAGCAGTTTGGAAAAGAACTTGTCAAGTGAAGTTTTAAATTACGAGTTCAGTGTAAGTGAAGCCATTTTTGGAGGCACAGACAGTTAAATGTGCGATAGAACCTATTCTTGCTCTTAGCTAAAATGCATTAGACATACCAAAGACTAACAGGATACCAATGAGATAAATTGCAGAAGGGTTAAAAAAGACAACATGAGGATAAAAACCCAACAAAATTGGAAGACATGTTGATTTAATGTTCAAGAAACTGAAGTTTTCAATCATGGCTGTTTGAAAGGATGACTTCAAGAGTCTATCAATTTCTAAGAATACCTTAACTGCATATATGTAAAGGGTTCTTCAATGCAACCGACTAAGGTATAACAGGATCCAGTGGATGGAAACTTACAACCAGGAGAACTTCTAATAAAATCAGAAGCTTGGTGGGAATTTAATGGAATCTCAACTGCTGGACAAAAACCTGGACTAGATGACAGTTTGTTCTAGATGACACCTAGTTCAAACCACCTAGCTTTTCTTCTTTACAGCCACAAAACAGTTACAAGAAATACTCCCCAATATGCATCCATTCAGGCAAACCACATCAGCACAATTAAAAAAAAAATCAACACGTTTGGCAGAAAACACACAGCTGGTGATGCACAGGTTGAGCATCACTATCCTAATGCGCATGATACCAAGTAACAGCTACATGATAGACAAAGATGTCAGTTGTGTTATAAAAAGGCAATCCTTCACTACAGGGTGGGGGAGAAAAGCAAGCCTTTGTCCCTTTCCATGAAAAGCTGGAAGCACTGCTTTAGGAAAATCAGCTGCTGCCAGCTGTCAAAAAAGCAGCCTGATGTCCTAGAACATAAAGCTTTAGCTTCCTCACCATAAGAGACCTCCAGACGTTGATGATATCCTCACCATAACAGACCTCCAGAAACGGTGATGATATCTACAGTGAAGAGCCTAAAATGTAATCTATGTTTGATACATAAAAGAGTTAACGTTTAGATTATGGTTCAGCATTATTTCATGGAGTAATTTATGAAGCAATCTGTCAACTTACAGGCGTTTGAAGTTTCATTAGCAGATGTATTACCTACATTTTATATCAGTACACAGGTCTCAGTTAAAAAAAAGATTAAACTGAGAGGAGCAAAGGAACTAGCTCAGTTAAGTGTCACGAAAACTGTAGCACACTCAACTGCACTGCTTAGCTTTACTGGTCGAAACCCACCCAAAACATAAGACATGTCAAGGTAGTTTAGATTTCACTGTTAACGTTTACAGTGTCCAGCCAGAAAAGCATTTTGATTCAATTACGGCAGTTTCAATTCCGGTGACTGGGAGCAGAGCACAAACTTTTGAGGGTAACATGAGTTACAAAATACTTGCCCATTTTAATCATACAACAGCTTGTTGCCTCCCTGTAAGAACCAAGGACTTGTACCATGCCAGCTTGGTATTTTTTCTTTTTGTAACCTAAGATTATTAAAAAAATAACAATTGCTTAACTTGAACAATTTCCAGAGGGGGGGGAAGGCATATCCTCTGTCCTCCGCCCCTCAATACAAGAACACTTGCTATACCTACTATGAAAACTCCTGCGTAATTTGATTAGATCAACTCTTCCAAATGACCATTGTTTCAGTGAGAAAATTATCAACAGTCATAGCCCTCATTTCCTTTGGCATCAGATGTGAACACAGTGCTCACTAGTAAGATTAGTCCCCTCATTATTAAGAATGCTGTTTATTACACGAAAATATGCTGCAGTTTCACAATCTACAATGTGAATATAGAAACATAACGTTGTTTCTGAAGCATACTTTTCTGAACCTTTGAAGAATACATTTCCTATCGAAAGAACTGTATTGTCTGCCTTTCCATTTAAGAGATCGGGTTGATTTTTGCGCTCTTTGCAATGCCAGCAATGTATCAGCTCCTGGGCTGTCCCTGGTTGCCCTTATCCCGATTCAAATGCAAACTCAATATGGCATCTGCATCTAAATAAGTAAGCAGCTGTTTTATTTTCCTTTCTGAGCCGTATGAGCTAGAATGAAGGAAGCACTGATCAGCTGCTCTTGGTAAACCAACTAGAAAAGACAGAAGAAAAGACCAATAATTAAACACTGCACATCCAAACCTTGGCAACTGGAAGAAAGGACACATGACAGATGCATGCACAGGACCCAGACCCGTTGTGCATCACCCATTTAACGCTACCGTTAGGCCCCGGGCAGGCAGGCCGGCCTGACGAGGGGCTGCGAACCCCAGTGCCCGGGGACAGGCGGCGGTCTGCACGGCAGCCTCCCCCTCGACACCGCCACAACAGCCCTACCACGCGTGCGGACAGCGCGCGGGAGCGGGCAGCCTGAGACAAACCCAGCGGGACGCTGACTGAGCCCACCGGCGCCCACCCGCCGCTTGGCCGCCCCGAAACCCACCGCCCCCCGGGTGGGGGCGAGGCCCGGCCCCCGGTGGTGGGAAGCAGATGCCCGCAGGCCGCAGCCGGTACCAGCCGTTTTCCCCAGCGCCGCTTCCCACCGGCGCCGCCCGGAAAGCAGCGGGCAGCCGAGGGGCTGCACGGGGCTCCCGCCCCAGAAGGCGGCTTCCATCGAGGGACCTCCCCCGGCCCCCCGGTCTCACCGGGCCCGTAGAACTTGCTGCCTTTGGTCACGTCGAAGACTTTGCCGTTGACAGCCAGGAGGATGCGGGGGTTGCGGGCCCCGTTGAACTCGCGCAACTGCTCCAGGGAGAAATCCCGCCGCTTCATCCGCGGCAGAGCGGCGGCCTGGCCCTCCCGGGCCGCGCCCCCCGGCCCGCTCCGCGTCCCCCAGCGCAGGTACAGCCGGTAGGCCGCCAGCAGCACCAGCGCCAGTAACACCAGCGCCAGCAGCATCTCAGCGCCCACCACCAGCGCCCCCGCGCTGGCCGGCGGCCCCCCCGCTCCCCCGCCGCCGCCGCTGCTCCCCTCAGTCCTTAGCCTCCCATCCCCGTGGTCCGCCATCACCGCCAGCTCCAGCGCCCGCCCGCCCACCGCACCCCGCAGCCCCGCCCCGCCCAGCTCGCGCCCGCCGCTCGCCCGCTCCCCATTGGCGAGCGGGAGAGGCGGCACCGCCCCCGGCGGGCTCGCGCCCCACCGGCCCGCCGCTCGCGAGAGGTGCCGCCACTCCCCACAGCGCGCCTGCGCCCCCCGCGCGGCGTCGGCGGCAGCGTGAGGTGGCGGCGGGGGCGGTGTGAGCCAGCGGCCCGCTTCCCCTCACGGAGCGCGTGAGGGGGTTTGCGGGCGGTCCGTGCGCCGGATGCCTCCCGCCCACCGCCGCGGAAGAGCAGGGTCGAAGGCCGGCGGGTGGTGGTGGCCAGCGCGGTGCGGCCACGTTGCGCGGCCACGTTGCTCGGCGCCCTGTCGAAGGTTGCTGGGCAAGCGACACGTCTGCGGGGAGCTGTGGAGCGGAGGTGGTGCTGCTGCTGCTGTCCGCTTGTCACTGAGGTGACGCGGCGGGCAGGCTCGGAGGGAAGTCTTCGGAGGTGGCTTAAGGAGACACCCTGCCGTTCCCTGCTGTCAGAAAGTGGCGTGATTGATAACAGGAGGCTGATCCGCTAGAATTGCTCCTCGTGCTGTGAAATGGAGCAGTGGCAGCACACATAGGTGGCTTTAGTGTATGTTGTTAAGTACAGCCCATGCCTGGCACAAAGATTGTTCAGTTACGTGAGGAGAAAGACCTAAAGCTTTTACCATTTTCAAGGCAAGAGTAGATCATCTCAGTAGGGTGATGCTTATCTGCAGAGAAGAGAAAGATCTGGGCAGAAGTTAGCACATCTGCTCCTCTCATGTTGTGAATATGTTCCCAAGCATAGCTGGTTGTCCCGTAAAATGGTACCGATGAGCTGCTCCACAAATGTGTAACTGGATCTACAGAACCTAAGTGGGGCTCAGCCACTCTTCCTGCAGTTGGAATGCCATACAAGGAGTACTTTGGACTTAAGAAACATGGTTTTACTCCATGCAGCAGTGTGGTGCTGAAGCATCCCTGCCTAGAAACATCAGGCTTAAGAGTAATTCACAAATATGCAGCTCGGGTGCTAAAGCTGGAAAACTCACATGTTTTCACAAAGGCTGGTAGGCAGTGCAAGGGGGTCAACCCAGTGGAAAATAACATTAATAATATTTAACATTTACATAAAGCTCTGTGTTTACAACACCCTGTGTTATGATCAGCTGTTCAATCTTCTGCCCTCTGAGCCAGTTCAGTAATAACTACCTCTGTGAGGAAACAGGATGAAGTTCTTGCTAGTTAAAGACCTGCAATTAAATTACTACTACTACTCCTCTTAACCAGGCAGGCTCTATATAATGTAAGTAAACACTATTAAGGAAGTCTTTTTATCTCAACAAGTCACAGCTTGATTGTGGTTAAGGAGAGTTTTTATCACAAAATCATCATATGTTTGGGTTGTCTGTGTACAGCTACGGTGCAGGTCAGAAGAAGTAGAGTTGCACTCTTCCTCATTTCCTTCCCTTAGGAGTTTAATTTAGACTTTCCACAGCATTCCCTTAACTTCCTTTTATTTTAAAGATGGCTTCAGAAAACAAAAAGAGGTAGTAAGAGATGTCAGGTATTCTTACCCGTCTTCCTGCCAAGATCTTACCTCTAAATTCATATAAACTGGCAAAGTAATTATAGACATTTATTTGAAAGCACATGGTTTCCCAGTCATAGAATGGTTTGGGTTGGAAAGGACCTTAAGATCATGTAGTGCCAGATGCCTCACACCAGATCATGTCACCCAAGGCTCTGTCCTGTCCTGCCTTGAACACTGCCAGGGATGGAGCATCTACCACTTCTTTGGACAAACTGTGCCAGTGCCTCACCACTGTCACAGTAAAGAACTTCCTTATATCTAAACTGAACTTCCACTGTTGAAGTTGAAATCCACCACCCCTTGTCCTATCACTACCGTCCCTAGTGAAGAGTCCCTCCCCAGCATCCCTGTAGCCCCCCTTCAGATACTGGAAGGCTGCTATGAGGTCTCCACGCAGCCTTCTCTTCTCCAGGTTGAACAGCCCCAACTTTCTCAGCCTGTCTTCATACAGGAGGTGCTTCAGCCCCTCAGTCATCCTCGTGGCCTCCTCTGGACTTGCTCCAACAGCTGCATGTCCTTCTTATGCTGAGGACCCCAGAACTGCGCACAGACTCCATACATTAGGGATAGTATGCACATACTAAATATACCAAGTATACTCGGATTAGGACATTTCTAAACCTGGCAAGTAGAAACCACTGAAAATGCATAGGTTATAGAATGGAGAAACGGGCCATCTTTGGTTTGCCAAGACAAAAAGTTTGTCCCTACAAAGGTTATGTTCTATAACCCCCCCTTCCCCCCCCCCCCCCTGGTAAAGGGTCCTGCAAAATCTCTCAGCAAAATCTCTCAGCATTACTGTGTTGCTTCCACTCTTCTTTATGTGTGCTTCTTGGTGGTTCTTTTGGTGTGAACAAATCTACTCTGATCTAATTGACAGCCAGCTGGCATAGATCCTGATCCATGACTGGGGAGCCCAGGTATTGTTAAATATGACTAGAGGTGTGAAAGGAAAAACAGGCATTCTGGGTTACCTGGGGAAAAACCTCAGAATTTTCCAGTCTGAAATTACAGCTAGTTCATTTGTATGGATTTGATCTGAAGAGCAAACAAAGTAATACTACTTGCATACCAGTTTGCTGTAAAGAGCTTTGTGAGACTTGAAAACACATATATGAAAGAATATTAGCAAGTTTCTAATTACATGTTATAGCTTTTGTTGTTCTTGAGTAATTATTTAATTTTATAGGGTTTTGTCCTGGGTCTTTTACCTAAAACAATTTCAAGAATAGCTGGAAAATTAATAACTTATTGCTATAGTCATATGCAATCTCATCTGTTGATCCTTGTTTATCCTCTAGTTCGTGGTCATTAACTTCCACAGCAGCCTCTGTGCTGTATCTGCTGTGTTTTATTCTAGCAACAAGGAAAAATCCAGTAGTATCTTTCAAAGTTATTTGCTCACTGGTATTAGGTGTTCAATATTTTTCTACATCAGTATACATTTTCTTCTTCAGGATAGAGCCTTCTTTGATATAAAGTGTCAGATATACTGTGACTGACCTTTGCACCTTTTTCCCAAGGATTTCACAGATAGATTAGCTGCCACCTACTTTGTTTGCTCCACGTACAAAATAATTCTCCAACATCTTTTTCATTTTGAGAGCAGCAGCTAGGATGTTTCTGGATGATTTTTCGATTTAGGAGGTAAATGCTTGAACTCAGAGTTATGTTCTTCACTTTTTCTTCTCAAACATTACTTATTGCAGACTCTGGAAAGAAGACTGAACTCAGTGAAAAGCACGAGAGCACGAAATTACAAACAGTAATTGAACTCTGACACAAACCACTCTCATGGCTGAAGTTTATTTTCTATTGATTTTGAAGCTTGAGAAACATCTCTTATCACACAAACAGGCAACGGTCAAGACAGATTAGGAGGTGAGCTGTGTAGGGATGTCTCAGTAAATTCGGAATAATGGAACAATCAATCAGCTGCATTGATTTTGGATATTTTTAAACCCAGCTTAATGTATGGGATGCACTGATGATTTTGTTTTAAGCTGACACAGCTTGGAAGTGCTTACTGTGGAGGTCAGTGCAGTGCTTCATATCTTACTTCAAAATAGTATCTGCTTACATTCCTTAACGCGTCTTTATTTTGTATTTATTTGAAGTGCTACATTCAGATCTATCTAAAATCTTTTAATATCATGTCATATGGTCTTTTAATGAAGGAATGCTGAACACATGCAAGCTACTTAGAAATTTCTTTCAAAATTTCGAAAATTTCTTTCGAAATTTTGAAAATATTTTGAGTAGTTTTTTTATTTTGCTACCTGATATGAGTAGCCAGGTAGCAAAGTTCATATCAAGCCATTGTGTTGGTTTGGGCTGGGACAGAATTAAGTCTTCACAGTTGCTGACGTGGGGCTCAGTTCTTCATTGGTAAAAAGCGTACTGTTATTTTTTAGTCTTTGTAAATGGTGTGATATCTCAAGTGCCTGGTCATAGTATGGCAGAAATAGATAAAGTTAATCTCTAACAAAACTGTGTGATTTTTTTTCGTCTTCTGTGAAGCACACCTTTACACAGAGTAGTATAAAGCTGCTCTGTGTAATGGTGTGCTTCACAGAAAAGTCCCTATAGTCCAGACTGGGACCAGCAGAAACCTGTAGGCACCAGTCAAATGCTGACCAGCTGAGTAACTGGGGATGCCTTGCTAGGTTTGCTGCAACTGGAGCTCACCTTGGCGTAGGAAGTGAGAGCAGCTTTCCTTCCAAGACGGAAAGCACAGTTTCCTCTGGCTCTCAGCTCTTGGTCTCAAGATATATGAGCCAGTGGCTCTGGCATATATTATTCCAAATCTGGTCAAGAAAATCCCTGACGTGTATACTTGAGATACATTTTCAAAGTAATGTATGCCAATGCATTTGCCAAGGCAAGTTTTTAACAAAACAACTTATTTGAGATCTTTGCAACTGTATGTGTGCAGCTGTGTTCTCAAATGGTAACTTCAGGACTGCAGTAATTGGTCTGTAGTGAAGCAGCAGAGCAAGTACCCTGGCAGGCCTTTGGGCAGAGCCAGATGTAAGGAAGAAGGTGGATTTTCAATATAAATAGGGCACGCTTCTGCCCTGAGTGACTCTGTTTTCATATTTGACTGTAGATGCTTCTAGAACAAATACTAAATGCTCAGGCCTATTGTGAGATTGTATAACATCATCTTGTGGGATATATCTGCAAAACCTGTGGACACTACGTAGATGCTGCAGAAGAATATTCATTAGTAAGTCTCTGTAAGGGAACACAAGACAAAACCAGCAAGTTACACGGACATAAGAGTGTAGCAACGAGACTGGGGATAAAGCCTGTCTAAAGGATTTGGGAGTATACTATTTGCTGGTATGCTGCATGAGCTCAGGTATGGGGATTCTTGTCTTAGCTGTGGTAGTGTATGGCTCTATAGGTGATGAAATAGTGTCTGTAAAATGCAGAATTAAAGTTAGAAGAGAATTTGAACTCCTTAACCCAACTGCAAATAATTTAGTATTCATTCTTCCAAGTCAGTTCTTGACTGTGCAGGTTTGACCTTTTGCATACTGGGCAGAATTGTGTATATTTTACTACAACACTGCAAATCAAACACTGAAGTAACCAGATTATGTTTATCTTTGAAGTGATATGGTTAAATCCCATGAAATCAATGAGAGTTTTTCCAGAGGCTTTAATTTCACAAATTTAATAGCACTAGTAACCTTGTCTTGGCTTTAAAAAGATATGGGTTGTTTTGTTTGTTTCCCTCATAGGAAACGCTACTAACAGAGACGCTTTTCATTTAGTTTTAAAACTGATTTAGCCCAATTTTAGTTTATACTTTTTTTATTTCTTTCTTTTTTGCTTTCTAGCTCTGTTTTAGGATTATTTTTATAAGATCCTGCTGCATTTACATGTATATTTTGTCCTGAAGTTTTATATCCCTTACGTTAAAAATTCCTATGGTAATTTTCCTTCGTGTTCACCACAATCATCATCTGCTAAGTTGTCCACAGGTTGTCTTCAGCTGCTGTTCTTGCTGTAGGTGTTAGTGTTGATACACAACACTGATAGCTTTGAGTTAAGGATCACAACAGACATAGGCCACTACTGGCATTCTTCTTGTTCCATGTTCTTGTATCTCTTTGACCTGCTTACCTGCCTTTCCACCTCAGTTCCAGTAAGTCATTTTATATTCTGCTCAGTGTTACACACAATTTCTTTTAATGGACTATTCTAGGCTGTTGTTCAGAGAGACAGCTAATGAACCCCTGTTTTCACAAGCCAGTGATTCGTAGTAGGTGACTATAGCAGCAGACCTGTGTTTGATAAGTAGTGGTGGGAAACAGACTACACACCCCAGTTTGGGGTTCATTTCAGAAATGGTCACTAGGCTATCCTAGGAGATTTCAGCAGTGAATTCACAGGTGCCCCTGCGGGATCAAAGTGTAGGAACAAGTATTTCAAGCTAATACACACTTTTCTTTAGCCATATCTGTTACAGTGTTGGTTTTCCTAGAAAGATTAGCTTCTGTTAAGGGCAAAAGCCATTTCAGCAGTTATGCAGAAGTTTATTGCCTGTCTTCCATCCCAAAGTCCACATCATCATTGAGGGGGTGAAATGGTAAATACATAACCAAATGTAAATATGTAATAGTAGTGACCTAATGATTTTCAATAGGCATAGATGACCATTCATACAAATAGATGCCTTTTCTTTAGTGTGTGGTCAGAATCTGTAGAATTACATCATTCATAGATAGTAGGAAACCAAGATAGAGTTAAGTCATAACTTAGGATACTGATAATAGGCCTCTTCATTGGGCAAAATGTGTCAGGGTTCAAAGCGACCAAAAATCAGTCTGTCCTTGTAACCCTTATTTTTTCCGTTGTTTGGATGGGGTTGTGTGAAAATCATGCACACACGCAGCTCCTGTTCTTTGGCAAACATTCACAATGAGGAGCAAATTGCTGAAGTCCTCTGTGGCAAAGTCCATGTTTTTCAGGTTTTGCCCTTTCTGTATTTTTGAGAAAGCTGAAGAATAGTCAGATTATACTTACCAGGTAGCAGCAATTCTGTCAGCAACTCATCAGTAGCCCTTGCCACTTTTGAATAAATACTTACAGACTTACGCAGCCAGAATTTTGGTCAATTTGTTTAGTTAATGGGGTGAATTTTGTTGGGCCACTTATGTTGTTAACGCTCACATTCACTGATGTGTGGTGGTGTTGTCAGAGTCTACAAAATCTTCTTTTCATTGGCTGAAGAAATTCCACTACTGGAACACAAACCCTTCTCACTGCTTAGAAAGCCACAGAAAGACAGCAGAGCCATTTGTTAAAATTTGTAAACTAGGGCCTTTATCACAAAGCAACTGGGCAACATTTTTCTTTTGACTTTGATTAATGAATTCTCTTTCTCTAATTCTGCAGGTACTCTGAGTATGGAGGGGCCAGATGAGGAGACTGAGCAAAGCCATTGCTACAGATAACAAAGCAGTGTGTCTCATTCCTAGTGACATTGCTTTGGAGAAACACCAAATCCTACGAATTGCTGCAGGTACAACAGGAACAAGAGTTAAGAAACTCTGACAACTTAATGGCATGAGAAAAAAAGAAGAAAGAAGGTGCTTGTTAGAAGGTAATGAATAGTTTCCAGCCTCTAAAGTTTATGTTCAGAGAGAGGTTCTATAAAGACTAATGACAAGGTCCCTGAGCAATAGCATGTAAGTATAGCACATAAAAATTATGACAATGCATTTACAGGCTTTATTTTCACAGATTTCACTTTAGCTTTAGTTTGCACTTGGTATACCAAACTGTACTAGGTAGTTAAAAACCATCTTTTTGTTAGCTGACAGAAGGTTTGATAGCATTGTTCTTAAACATTCCCTTTTATATGTTTCTAATATTAATAAAGTTGTTTGTTTATTTAGACCCTGGTTGTCCACTTAGTCGTAAAGAAATGGCCGTTATGCCATAAGGTTTGAAAGATGAGTGACGCACCCAGTCTGTAAGATCAGATAGAACAGCATCACATGCTCACAGAAAAGTACACACCAAGGTTTATGTTTAATTTGACATGTAGTTAAAAAAAAAACAATCAACCCTTATCCCTTGCAATCCATGCAATTAATCTGTTGCAATACAACTCTACAGATTTATAGTAACCTAACCTAAAGCTTGTTAAAATAGAAATACTACAGGCCTCTGTAAAGCCTCATGACATATGTGCATGGCATGTTCTGGGGCATTTTTGTAGCCAAAACCCCCACCTTATATATTAGCAGTAAATTGCACCCTATAATGGCCTCATCTGAATACGCACAGTCTTCCTAATTTTAGCCCTCCTGATTTCTTGTGAAAGGTATGGATGCTTCCCAGAAGTGCAAGTCAGCTCAAAACAACTTACAGCAAAAATTTACAGGACCCAGACCTTGCCAGAATCCTCATTTTCGGTTTGTCAAGTAAAGGTGTATAATGGAGCATGCTACAAAATTGCTTAAACTGTCATATGAAAATAAATGTTGTCTTGCCTTCCAAATGCATGTTCTACTTCAGCAGTGGCTAAGAACATAGCTGTTTTTTCTGTGCAGGCCTCATGTTTTCTGGTACTTGCTTCTAAAATAAAATCAAGTAATAGAGGTTTTCCAAAGTATGCTAACAACTTATAAGCCAACACAAGCAATGCCACTGGTTCTGAATAAAGTTCCAGTTTGTCTAGTATCTTGTCAGTGCCTGCCACTGTTTCTGTTGTAGTGTTTCTGATTTAGGCGTGACCAAATTCCTGAAGACGTTCAGAATTAGAGTTATATTTCTTCTGGTTAATGCAGGCATGAAAACTTTTGGGAAGACAAATTGTAGGCCCAACTTTTTTTGTAGGGGGAGTACTCCCTATGCCAGGTTATGAAGGCAAGCCTTACATATGAAGAGACAGTCATATCCTTTTGGGAGCAATCAAGATCCTGCAATGAGAGGAATGTAATTATTTTGCATATAATAAATACATTAAGTATTTAATTACTTGAAGGACTACTGGACAGAAGAAGAACGTAATTTTTGTGTTATAGTCATGTTTTCTTGACCATACACATAATTCTGAAAATAGTTGGAGTTTCTAATTCACATTAAAAAAATTAATTCACATAAAAAAACAGGTTTGAACCTGTTAAGCAGGCAGGTGTAACTGTTACTGAAATACCCCACAAAAGATGAACCAGGTCCTTTATATTTTACAGGAAGCATTTTCCTGAAGGGTAATATTAACTCGTTTTCTCATTCCAATTCATCTTTTATTCATTAAATTTAGAAGGATGCAAACCTTTATTCTCTATTGCCAGAAAAAGAGAAGGCACCTAAAAAACCAAAATGCTGCGTAAGCAAAACACTCCAGTGCATGTATTTTACATCCCTCACCTTGGAAGAGACAGATCTAAACCCACCAAACATATGGTAGATGATAACATTACTCGCATCACAGGTGCAGCTACAGCCATCAGTACACCAGTCAGACCAGGTGCAGCTACACTGGGATGACAGAGCTGCTCACTCACATATCTGCTATTGTATCATACAGACAGGATCATGCTGGCCAAGTCTGCCTGTACCACCAAAGAGAGGGAGGTTGAGTGGGAAGGGACTGAAGTCTTTTCAAGCTTGCCATCCTGTTAAATACACACTTTCCATAATACATTCCTGGCGATTGTTTTGCCAACAACCTTAGCAACAGATGAGATAGACTAGACCACCTTGCAAATCCTTCATATTTAAACCCTTTCAAAAGTAAGTGTGTAATGCTAACAAAACAAAATAGGAGCTCTTGACATGTGTTTTGCGCTCAGCTAGCCAGTGTGCGTATGATCAAATGAAAGAAGACACTGGCAAAGCAGGCTTAGTGTGTAAGTATCCATATTTTATCTCTTTCCACCCCATCTTCTCCTTTTCATTTTGAATAATGATGAGAACTAGGTGAACATTGAATAAGAAATTCATGTTCCAAAGAAGCAGTACAATGTTACAATTTAAAAATCAAGTTGTTGGAGTTGGAAGCTGGAGGGGCTTTAGACAGAAACAGCCTGGAGAAAGTCAGAAAGAGAGGAAGGTTGTCTTTAACCCAGGTAAGGATTTGGGAACTTTCCTGTTAAAATCTATGTTCAACTCAGTCTTGCAGAAGTAGACTTAGAAATGAAACTTTTCCTTCAGTGGTGACAGCAACCATATACTTCCAGTAATTTGTGCTGAATAGGGTTTCAACTGCGCAGGCAAGCAAGGTAAGAGTTCTGACATAACAGAAAGCTTCGGCAGGGCTATCACCTCTTGAAAATCAGAGTAGCCCATTTTCTCTATTCCAGTGCTGTCAGTGGCTGCAAAGAGGTGCAAAATAACGCAAAAATACCAATAGTGCACATGAGTGGATTTCCAGTGGTGCAGACATACTGCCAGTCCAACATCATTTTTATGGAGGGGTATTGCAGACTCTTTTGCAGTAAGGTAATTTCTGCTTAGACCATGAAGGTACAAAATCATGCATGCCAGTGTTACGAAAGAGACATATTGTCTGGGGATCATGTTTGTCCCTGTTTGGAGACCTGCTGTATTGCTGTAGACTCACTCCACGCAAGTATTGGTCAGAGAGATTTCAACAAACCTGTACTCTTTGTTTGTGCCTATAATAAAGTAGTAAAAATCAATTAATATGCAGAAAAAAAATGAAGCAATATAAGGCTGTGATCCTGCATTAACTGGTATAAAATCTGTGCATGCCGGATTTCCTGGCAGGAAAAATTTGCTCTGTATTGGCATGAGCACATGACTGCATTTTTATCAAATCAGCCAGAGCATATGTTACAGTGTTCATTCAGACGTTATGCTGGTTTTCTGTCAGTTGAAGAGTATAAATTATGCCTGATCCAGCATAAAGTCACGCCTGCAAATAGACAATATCTCATCTGATAGAAACTCTCCTGAGATTAAATGATTTCTTCCAGCTATTTACAATCTCACAGAATGATAGCCTACCACCCTAATATGCTGTAAACCCTGCATCATCCTTAGACAAATCTCTTTCAAGTCAGAGCATGCCTGCATCTGATTAGCTGTAAATAGACTGACAATTTTTTCCTCAGAGGGAAAGAAGGGGAGAGTTGCAAAGTCAAATTATATTTTACACCTTAGGCAAATACAAAAATGTTCCAGAATATGATTTTTATAGAAATCTCAAGTGTACTCATCTTTACTATATCTTTAAATATAAATAATGAGATGGGAAAAAATTAGTTGTAATGATTATTTGTAACATAATTCTGGAAAGTATGAGGTTATGTTTTGGCCCATATTATGAAAGAAAAAGGATTTGATTTTGTGCTTCCTGACATGTTGCTTCTTTTTAATATGCAGCTGTTGTGTCATATTATGGATCCTTGGCATTTCATTGTGAAGAGGAATGATCATGACACTAGTTACTGGAGGTGAAGGCAATGAACAAGAACATTACAGCGTGAACCAGATCTTTTGAGATCTCTCGAGTCAAAGGGCCTAATCCATCCGCAGGCGCATACAGGTTTTAGTGACTTGGATATAAAATGGGCTGAGGTTATTTAAGATTTTATTGGGGTTTTGTTAATTGTCATTTAAATTCCATTAGAATTTATAAATTTACTTTTGCCACTGCAGTGTTGTCTGTCTTTGCCCAGGGATTGTAACTGTCTGCAAGTCAACATTCAGTGACAGAACTGCTTAACATTGTCCAGGCAAGCCTAGCTCCTTGCTTCTGCACCTGCACTGCAGTCTTTACTACACTAGCATGATTGTTTTGGGGGCATAGTGGGCTAGCCCATGATTTAATTGGAGTAGGGATTATGAAAACTGGTACTGCCACTGACCGTTTTTATCTTTTCCTCCGAACTACATGGTGTATGAAATTAAATGGAACCAGGAGCTTAGAGGAGACCTGACAAAAGGGTATGGTGGTGTGGGATAAACTGAAAGAAGGATTATTCCTGACAAACTCACGGCAAGAGCATGCCTGTACCTCCATTCCAGGGAATAAGTTAAAATAGAAGAAGTTATCCTGAAGAAAAAAGTTATCCTGAAGCAGACTGAATCATATGAATACAGAAATACTTTTGAAAAGTACAGCATGTACTGAAGCCTGTAAATCAGCTTTTTTCTGGTATGACTACATCTATATACCACTGTGCTGGTATAACAGTGTTAATATAAATGTTCTCCTAACTGACAGAGTTATGCTAATAAAACTTTTACAGGTACGAGACCCCTAAAATTGGAATCATCAATAAATAGCGTACCCATCTAATGTAAAAATTGCACACCCCACATTCAACAAGAATTCCTATAATGCAGATCTTAGTTTAGAGTTTGTAGAGCTGTGATGCTACTAAGCTAGCACTGTAGGAGAATGAAGAAGTTCCTCTTTAGAAGCTGAAGAGCCATTCCATTTCTCTTGATACATTTTGGTGAACATTCCCAAATCATTCTCAGCACAGCTGAAACATCTTTAGCATTCTTCTACTCTTTCTTCTTCCGCTACCACCTCTTGAAAGCTTATGTTTGTTCTCAGAAGGGGGCCAGATTGTACTGAGAGATTGGTATTTTTAATAAAAGTTTCCTGTGGAGGAATAACCTAGACTCTTGGCAGCATACCACTATTCAATTCATACAAAGCAGTCAGCATTTACTCTGGACACGGGCTTGGTCTCATTACCAGTGTGATATGATCTGTACTAGCAGTGCTGTTCTAACTGCAATGCTTCTGTAGCCATGTCTGCAAAGGATCTTTGATGCATAGAAACTTGATCCCTCAGATGTGGATGTAGTCCTATGTTCCTTCTCCTTCCCTCCTTCCCTCTTACCTTCCTCCCAGAATCCCTATTAGTGGCTGGTCTGTCAAAGAAATACTCTGGCTTGTAAGCTGCACTGTAGAAGAGTTTGTAAGGAGCATTGCTCTTAACGTTGCAGAATATTGGTGTAAATATGATGTTGGGTGCACGTGGTGTTTATTTTCATTCCTGCAATTTGGTATTCTTAACATGTCATGTGGATAGGTTTTGTGATGTGGATTAACTTTTGTGAATGCTGCTTACCTCTGTTTAAGTTGCTGTCATCCTTACATGCTCCAAAAAGAACGTTGCTTTCACAGTAGTATTCCAGGAAGCTACAGACTTTTTTCCCTCTTTCATTCAAAGTTCCCTCTTCACCCCTCTATGCAACTGCCTATTTCTAACATGCACTTAAAACATGACCTGCAAGAGCCAGCTCATTTCCTGGTAATTTCTGTAGCGCACTAGCCACTATTCTTTGTGCTCCCATGCCAGTCATATCCGTCTCCTGAGAACATGCCCCATTATCAAAACATGTATGAGTAAGAATGTTTTGATCATACAAGAAATAATTCATCATTATACAGCAAAGTCTATAAAACCGTAAGGTGCATTTCTGAAGCAGTAAAAACCTAATTAACCTTTTTTAGATATAAATCTAGAAAAACCCCAAACCCTTAAACTGTGTTAGTAAGGCAAAATGCATAGAAATCTTTTACACAACACACTTTATAATGATATGCAATTATTATAATTGGTAGGTTGTTAACTCCCAGTGTGATTAAGTCTCATTGCACAGCAATGATAGTGGCACACCTGACTTAGGATTTGCCCACAGATGATACAAAAATAAATTCCCCAGAACGAAAAATTAAATTTTTTGGGTGACCTTATGAAATACTTTAAGAAAGGAGAAGGTCCAGAGAGAAAGAAGAGCTTGGGGAAATAGGTAAGTGGTAAAAAAATATGCTGAGAGTTTG